CATGACTTAAGCAACCAATCAGAACATGACACACACACTAGGCAGGAATACAAAAGGATCAAGGGAAATCACACGACTAGACAGGAATTATGACTATGACAAAATAAGAGACATGAAAACAATGAACATGAAACAAGGTTCGCAACCCGCCATAAAACCAAAAGAAGAAGAAGAAGAAGAACATGAAACAAAACCCCAAAACAGACATGACAGCAACCTGAAGCTCACATAGGCTCTCTCTTTTAAACTTAACCCACAAAAGGTGCAGTAAAAAAATGTACAATATGCTCAAAATAGTTTTATCTTTACCTGATCCGAACACATATAAAATATTCTCACCAACATATTTGCTTTAGTGTATAACATACAATGCTTCCTTTACATGTCATCATCATCACTCATTTAATCGTTAATGATATGACCCAAAATTGTTTACACATTTAATACTTAAAGTGACGTGACATGTGGCCAAGTATGGTGACCCATACTAGGAATTAGTGCTCTGCATTTAACCCATCCAAAGTGCACACACACAACAGTGAACACACACCCGGAGCAGTGGGTAGCCATTTTTTTGCTGCGGCGCCCGGGGAGCAGTTGGGGGTTCGGTGCCTTGCTCAAGGGCACCTCAGTCGTGGTATTGAAGGTGGAAGAGAGTGCTGTACATTCACTCCCCCCACCTACAAACCCTGCCGGTACGAGACTCGAACCCACAACCTTTGGGTTACGAGTCCGACTCTCTAACCATTAGGCCACGACTTTCCCTGACAGATAAAAATCAGGGAAATTAAGATATTTATTTTCTTTTGTTCTGTGGAGCTTTGATGGACATTTATCCCACTAACCTATTAAAGGGTTCCCATTCAATAGGTTGCAAATGGACACATATCCCAATTGCAATCTACTGCATGGGATCGGTTTAGTTCTGTGGTGGACATTTATCCCACTCCCATATTAAAGTGCTCCCATTCAATAGGTTGCAACAGGAACTTGGTGCTGCTCACCCTCTCCACAGTCACACCATTGACGGACAGAGGAGCATGCTGAGTGCGCACTCTCCTGAAGTCAACAACAATCTCCTTCGTCTTCTCCACATTTAGAGAGAGATTGTTGTCACTGCACCACCCGGCCAGGCGGCTCACCTCGCTCCTATAGTTTGTCTCATCTCTGTTGCTAATGAGACCCACTACAGTCGTGTCATCCACAGACTTAATGAAGAGGTTTGAGTTATGTGACGGTGTGCAGTCGTGGGTCAGCAGAGTGAAGAGGAGGGGGCTCAGCACACATCCTTGGGGGGCCCCAGTCTTCAGTGTGATGGTGCTGGACGTGTTGCTGCCGACCCAAACTGCCTGAGGTCTTCCAGTCAGAAAGTCCAACAGCCAGTTGCACAGCGAAGTGTTGAGCCCCAGCTGGACCAGTTTGTGAATGAGCTGTTGAGGGATGATTGTGTTGAATTGTGTTTAGTACTTTGATGCACATTTATCCCCCTAAACTGTTAAAGTGCTCCCATTCAATAGGTTGCAAATGGACACATATCCCACTTGCAATCTATTGAATGATATCGGTTTAGTACTTTGGTGGACAATCATCCCACTAACCTACTATAGCATTCCCATTCAATAGGTTGCAAATGGACACATATCCCACTTGCAATCTACTGAATGGGATCGGTTTAGTACTTTGGTGGACATTTATCCCACTAACCTATTAAAGGATTCCCATTCAATAGGTTGCAAATGGACACATATCCCAATTGCAATCTACTGAATGGGATCGGTTTAGTACTTTGATGGACATTTATCCCACTAACCTATTAAAGGGGTCCCATTCAATAAGTTGCAAATGGACACATATCCCAATTGCAATCTACTGAATGGGATCGGTTTAGTACTTTGGTGGACATTTATCCCACTAACCTATTAAAGTGCTCCCATTCAATAGGTTGCAAATGGACACATATCCCACTTGCAATCTATTGAATGGGATCGGTTTAGTACTTTGGTGGACAATCATCCCACTAACCTACTGTAGCAGTCCCTTTCAATGGGTTGCAAATGGACACATATCCTAATTGCAATCTACTGCATGGGATCAGTTTAGTACTTTGGTGTACATTTATCCCACTAACCTATTAAAGTGCTCCCATTCAATAGGTTGCAAATGGACACATATCCCACTTGCAATGTATTGAATGGGATCGGCTTAGTACTTTGGTGGACAATCATCCCACTAACCTACTAAAGTGATCCCATTAAATAGGTTGGAAATGGACACATATCCCATTTGCAATCTACTGAATGGCATCGGTTTAGTACTTTGGTGGACATTTATCCCACTAACCTTTTAAAGTGCTCCCATTCAATAAGTTGCAAATGGACACATATCCCACTTGCAATCTATTGAATGGGATTGTCACTTTAGTAGGTAAGTGAACAAATAGTAGCAGTCAGCAGTGGTCAGCATGCTGACCTGGATGGGAAATGGACAAATGGCAGGTAAGCGGGATGGGGGTCCGCATGACAAAGTGTATGGGAAATGGATGAATAGCAGGATGGGGGTACCGCCCGAAAAGCGTCCACTTCCAAATTATTTGAATGGGGAGACCCCCTATGCGATAGGCCTGAAGTGGGACTTGGTGGCGCCCTGCTGTGGAGCATGGCTGAACTGCGTTTGGGAGCCTTCGGGCTTTGGGGGTCTCTCGTTCGGACCCCCGAGTGGTTGGACCAGGACCAGGTCCAGGTCGGCGGGGCGGATGGCGTCGGACCCGCCACAAAAATTTTCGGGGGTCCGGTGCACGCCATCCACAAAGTGATGTACGGGAGCCACCTAAAGGCTAGCTGAATGGATGCTTTTTGTCGGTGGTGTGCTTCTTAGAGTCATTCATTAAGGCTTTAATGAGTTCAATTAGCAGTCATTAGTTCATCTGATCTGAGTGTCAAATCATTTACTTCATTCTTCACTGAGGAGAGAAATTTATATTGATTTGATGTTAGATTGATAATTTATTTTTAACTTTATACTTGTATATTAGTGCTGCAGCTAACAATGATTTTGATAAGTAATCTGTTGATTAGTTATTTAATTGATCAGATTAAAAGCATTTTATTGGATGTGCATTGTCTGTTGTTCTCCTTCAAAGAGAGAAAGAGAGACAAATAATATAAAACAAGATAAAGTATTTGATATATACTGTAAATGTTTTGATGTAAGAGCATAGACACAAGTAATCAATAATGATTTCATTGTTGATTATTTTCCTATTTTGATTTTCATTGATGAGTTGTTGCAGCACTGATTTATATATAATTTCTTTATTATTTCAGTTATAAAATACAAACATTGTCTTTGAATGCAGAATGATTCTCTATTGGCTGAATGATTCAGAGTTGCGGTGTGCGTGAGGCTGCTGTGGGACATACTGACCCCGGATACGAGCAGGAGCCGCTGCTCTACATGCTCTGGAGGATTCACAGTAACACACGGACACACACACACACACACACACATACAGTCATGGCCAAAAGTTTTGGCAGTGACATCAATTTTGTGTTTTGCAAAGTTTGCTGCTTCAGTATTTGTAGGTTATTTTTCCACGTTTCTATAGTATACTGAAAAACAATGATAAGCATATCATAAGTTTTAAAGGCTTTTATTGGCAAGAAAATATGAGTCAATATTTACAGTGTTGACCCTTGTTCTTCATAACCTCTGCAATTCGCTCTGGCATGCTGGATATTAGCTTCGGGGCCAAATCCTGACTGATGGCGATCAATTCTTGCCTTATTAGTTCTCAGAGTTGATCACAATTTGCGGGTTTCTGCTTGTCCACTCGCCTTGTGAGGACTGACCACAGGTTCTCTATGGGATTGAGATCCGGGGAGTTGCCTGGCCACGGATCAAAAATTTCAATGTAATGATCTTCGAGCCACTTCTTTATCACTCTTGCTTTGTGACATGGTGCTCCATCATGCTAGAAAATGCATGGATCATCACCAAATTGCTCATGGATCGTTGGAAGAAGTCGCTCTTGCAGGACGTTTTGCAATTTCCTTGCATGTGAGGCCATTTTGATGCAAAGCGAGGCTGCACGTGTTTCTTTGGAGGTAACCATTGCTAACAAGAACACAATGACTGGAAGCGCTTCTTCCCTCCTTTTATAGCAATCAGTCTGCTCTTACAATCTAATTAGTATGATAGTGATTTTACCTGATTAGTACTCATTCACACTTTCACATGTGCTGCTGATATGATTAGTAAATAATGTTAGCAGGTCATTTTGTGTCAGGATGAAAAAACAGTGAAATTTGATTTTTGTGAAAGTTAATTTTTTGGCCAATGAAGCTTTTAGCAATTATTTAAAATACATCTGATCACTCTACACAATAATCTAGAAACAATGTGAATGAACACCACAAAAGCTTAAGCAGCAAACTTTGCAAAACACAAAATGTATGTCACTGCCAAAACGTTTGGCCATGACTGCACACACTATTTCAATAGCTTAAAATTTCATGTCATTTACAGGTTTTACCCACTGATCTATAATAGAATAAATTATTAACAAGCTGTATCCTAAAAATAAAAACAAATTCCACAGTTAATAATACAGAGACTCATGACACAAGAACACAAAACACTGGAAAGGGCCGGAGCTCCATAAGGTGAATGATGAAATTGATTTGTTGACTGTGACCATTTGAACTGAAAGGTAATTATAATAGTAATAATAGATATGATTGATGTGATACTACATTAAAAACTAAATCAACACAAACAGATGTTAATAAAAGCACAGAAACACATGGTCCCTCAGCAGGACTCACACACACACTGATCTTACTGTCTATATGAGGATTTATTACACACATTTATTCTGACATTATTTCAGTGACCGAAGTTCAGCTGCAGTATTAATGTCATGAAGAGAAAAGAGACTCTATAACAACTCACTGTTAATGATTTATCATGCAGCTCAAAGCATTATGGGTAGAATCTCTCAACAGTCTATTCTGATTCATCAACACAGTTTCACTGATGATCCAGATCCAAACCCAAACCCAGGATAGAGCGTCTGAGTGAATGTGGTCTGGACTGTGTGGATGAGGCTCATTGTGTCAGAGACACTGTAGAAGGACAGAGTTCCTGCACTGTGATCCACACACACTCCTATTCTACTGCTGATGGACTCTACTGGGAGAACAGTGTGTATGTTATTGTGCCAGAATGAGTATCTGGAGGGAAAGCAGATCAAACTCCAGGACTGATCATTAGATCCAAACAAACACTCAACACCTCCCTTCCTGCTGGTGCTCTTATATGACACTGATATAAACACATCTCCACTGCACTCAGTCTCCCAGTAACAGCGTCCACACACACTCTCTCTACACAACACCTGAGGCCACTCATCAAATCTGTCTGGATGATCAGGATACGGCTGTTTCTCTTCCACATATGTCACCTTTCTGTTCTCCTCAGACAGACTGAGACGAGTGTGTGCTGTGTTTGGATCCAGTGTGAGAAAACAGGCATCTGAACACAAGAACAGAGACATTAATAACACAACAATCACTACAGCTGTGTGTGTGTGTGTGTGTGTGTGAGAGCCATTTCTTACATGTTGTACTGTTGTTTTTTGTTTAACAATGTCTTAAATATTTTTCTTGTTTCTTGTTTGTGGAAAAAAGAGAAAGAAAGTATACATGTACTTATTTACTTAAGTATTTTACAGATCTATTCTTGTTTTGTTTAGGTATATAATAATCGTTTATTCCTTATTCATGTAATGGACAATGCTTTGGCAATACTGTGCAAGTCATGCCAATAAAACTCATTTGAATTGAATTGAATTGAGTGAGATAGTGAGAGAGAGAGTGTGTGTGTGTGTGTGTGTGTGTGTGTGTGTGAGAGAGAGAGAGAGAGAGTTCATTCAC